ACATGTATACGTGTATATATACATATGCATACATACACATGTATAAGTAGTATATATATATATATATATATATACATGTACATATATATATAAATAAATACTCAGTCTTTTGCAGCAACAAAAATACTATACTAAATACGTTGTTCATTGAGTTACACACGCACGAGCTTGGGAACATGCGGTTTTAGGTATACATGTACTGGTCAAGGTGTACATCTGACTAACGGTTACACGGAAGACAAATAGCATACAATGTATTTGGACGATTGCCGCCCGCATCGTAACTGTCGTGTCACTAACTACAGCCAGTGTCAACAACCAAGAATTGTAAACTTGCTATAATATTCGCATGTATATCACAATTGTGTGGTACTAAATACAGCCTTTTGTCATAACTTTCGTGGTATTGACTACAGCCAGAGTCAACCACCAAGGATTGCTCAACCACAAGGGATTGTGCACTTGATATAATTCGCATGTATCATCATAACTGTCATGGTACTAACTACAGGCAGTGTCGACCACCAGGGATTGTACACTTAGAAATCGCTTACACATAGTCCTGTTCCACGAGACTACCATACTCAAACCACTCAGAAGGCAGGAGCCTAAAACAAGAACGCACGAATACACCTTTTGTTCAAGAATGGCATAGTCCACCGAGAATATCATACTATACTGAGGATATCATGAGATATTTGTGCGTTCTTCTTCCTCCACACGTGATGGCGATTATCATATTATATCGCTCCGGAGGCACACACAAATACTTAAATAAGACCATGTTCGACAGACATGTATCCATAATGTTAAATTGCATTCCTAAGCACTCCGAAGGTACGCACAAATACGAAACAGACCATGTTCGACAGACACGTATGCAATGTTAAATTGCATGCCTTAGACTCCGAAGACACGTACAGATATCGCAAGAAATGTTCGAGAGTACCACACCACCGCTCACAAGTCACGCACAAATGCTTCAAAATCCATGATCAGCAGGCACGTGTGCACGATGTTTAAGTTACTTGCCTTGCTTTATTTACAAAATGCTTGTATACCAGTACAATTTCATTAGAATCAGAGACTGCCCATGCTGTCTAGTTGTTGCCGAGTTCTTTCTCGTAATCATACACGTTGAACGCTGTTCTCTGCGCAAGCGTGTAGATTTCGATGAACCCAGCCGACGCGTTCTGGTTAAAGCTCGCGTCCTGTATAGAAGAAAAAAAGGTTGTAACTGTGAGATGTCTGATTGTTACCTTGGCAACACTACTGTAGTGGCGCCTCAGTAAAACGAAAAACAATTGCCAAACAACTCGTAATGCGGTGCGATACACCCTTCAAAGTCAAGTTCACAGCACATTCGTTTGCAAACACATCACAAAAAGATCAAGATACGCAACAGCTGAAGCTTCCTACTGGCGTCTAAAAATGGAAAAAGCCTGCATACCTTGTTGAATGTAGCCAAATTCGCATCGAACAGTGAGAATGGCGAGTCAACGGCAACTACCGTAGCCTGTCCCTTGTATAGCTTGACGGTAACGGTACCCTTGACCTTCTTGTTCATGCTGTTGATGAAGGCAAGGACGTGGTACAAGGTTGGGTCGTACCATTTCGCGGCGTATGTGAGATAAGCCCATTTTGTGTCCATGAATCGCTTGAGCTCATTCTCCTCTCGGGTAGATACCAGCTGCTCCAAGTTCTGGTGTGCGTTGATCAGTATGGTAGCCGCGGGGTTCTCATATATACCTCTGACTTTGAGTCCCACCAGCCTGTCCTCTACCAAATGGAAAACACCAACACCGTGCTCGGCCCCGATGGCATTCGCCTTCTCGATTATTTTGTACAGCGACATGGTCTCTCCATTGTATGCAACGGGAATACCCTTGTCGAACTCTATCGTGATCGTTTCTGACTTATCAGGTGCCTGTTCTGGTGTTTTGCACCATTGTAGGATCTGCTCTAGAGGTGGCTCCAATCGAGGGTCTTCGATCTCACCTCCCTCTCCGGTATTGGCCCACATATTTTCATCGTAACTGTACGGCGTCTCCTTCTTTTGCTTCACAGGGATGTTGTGCTTGAAGGCGTACTCCAATTCTTCGTCTCGGCCCATACCCCATTCTCTCACGGGCGCGATCATCTTCAGGGTTGGGTCTAGCGTGGTGCAGTAGCCCTCGAATCGGACTTGATCATTGCCCTTGCCAGTGCAACCGTGTGCGATTACACTGCATCCGTACTCTTTTGCCACACGCACAGCAATCTTTGAAATCATCACACGGCCGAGTGGGCATCCGAGCGCATAGCCTCCCTGGTAGTCGGCATTGGCTTTGATTGCCTCGGATAGTAGCACAGATGCGAACTCTTCCTTGGCGTCAATAACAATGGCCTCTTTGGCACCTAGCTTTAGAGCCTTGGCTTGAATCTCTGGAAGATTGTCAGCCGTTTGTCCAATATCTACGGTGAGTGCGTACACGTCACATTCATACTCCTCCTGGATCCATTTGAGCATCACACTCGTGTCCAAGCCGCCGGAGTACAAGAGAAGACATTTGTCGAACTCTCCTTTCTTTGCTTCATGAGTGGCAACTTTCACATATTTGTTGACACCCTCGTGGGTCATGCCTTCATCGGCGGGGATATCCGAGGTTTCCTTCACAGTGGGCGGCATAATGATTGTGTAGTATGAGCTGGTTGCTTCTACTTAGTATAGGTAATGATTTAAACTGAATCGAGGGACGCACCCTTATATACAAATGGAAACCAGGATAGCGAAGCAGCTAGCAAACCAACGGGCTAAAATTATTGGCCTCGATTCCCTGCTTTAACACACAATTCATACTACAGTAAATTTTCATGTTGAACATGAGTCAGCTCCATCGAGGCACGTTCACGCAAGCATTTCCCCAACCTGTATCAAAATGTTAAATTGTATACTTCACAACCTATTCACTACTACAAACTAGAGAGAAAAAGAAGGCAAACTCATAATATTTTTTAGAGATGTCAAATATTTAAAAAAAGGGGCGACACATCCAGCGCGTGACCGCCTGACCGCGACTCATCAGACATCAACTACGTGAATGTAAATTTTCAAAATAAGCCTGCTGTGTATACTAAACACTGTATACAGTGATATGTGTGTACGATGTATCTGATTCCGCGCATCTCCAAATCAGATATACTCTTGTGTAATCCAATAATAATCGAGTACAGGTAAATGTCAGAAAGTGTGCACCAATCATTTACTTCAAAGTTTAGAGAGTACGGTCATCACTTTTCTACTTTTTCTAAATTTTATCAATATTTTTCAAAAACAAATACTTTTTTTCTAGCAAAAGACCAATGCATTGCCCATCCACCTGCTGTTGCATGGGCTAATGTTAAAATATATTGATTTTCTGGCACAATTTAATGAAGGCTATATTTTTGGGATTTTTTATCGAGTCCGCTATTCCGCATTCCGCTCTATAGCATCGCACTTTATGACTGTCGATACTCGCTGTACGTACTAAACATTGTATTCCAGGGAGATTGATCGGACTTTCCTTTCGCCCTTTTCTATTTCCAACAGTGGTACATACTGCAAACAGCATCGTTTCGAGCTATTTCAAGCTTATTCACTATACCGTTGCTTCAAGAAGGAGACAGTAACTATTGTAGAACTTCAACAGCACATAGCATGCTACAAAGAACCACAATTCGATGGTCGAACAAAGGGGAAAGTTACACTCAACATATGAGAATTCTTCGTTGATGTCATCTTGCTTGGTCATGTAATATTGCTGTGGTTTTATACAATAGCTGAGCGACGGAACAATTCACACAGTACAATGCAATTTTGGAACACGGTCCATAATACAATATATATATATATATATATGTGTGTGTGTGTGTGTGTTTGTGTGTGTGTATGAGTATATATATGTGTGTGTATGAGTATGTGTGTATGCAGTATGTGTGTATGTATATATGTATGTATGTATGTTAT